TACATATATTTGTTTGTTATAATATGCCGTATATGTTTTGTGTTATATCTCCTTTCTTCGGGAGAATTGATTTACAATGCTTTTCTTAAAAATGATTAAGTGGGCAGCTACTCCACTGTGGGCTTGCTTACAAACTATGTTGCACTTATGTTCTATTATGCCCCCTTTTCTTAAATTGGAAATCAATTCTTTATCATTGAACATTTTTCTTTTGTTTGTTTTTCTATGTTTTTGTTTTATTTTGATATACATTTTATTTTTTTTTTTTCGTTTGTTTTTTCTGTTGCTTAGACTCTAATCTGATTCTTATGTACTATCTTTTTATTATTATTGTTGTCAATGATTGTTATATTAGGTTCTTTTATTTCGACAATGATATATGGTCCTTGATTAACGTGTTTATGTTTATTGTAAGGTAAGGTTTCGACGTACACTGTATCGCCGATGTTTAAATTTACATTTCTAGAATTCTTATCGTAAATATACTTGTTATGTTCTTTTGATTTAATTAATAATTTGTGCGCCTCTTGATGGGCGACTTGCAATCTATACCTAGCTTCATTAATATAATTGTCAAAATTGTATATAGGTGATACTTCTTTAGTTAAATCTTGTGGTATATTTGGATTACGATTAAAAACTAACTGATAGGGTGAAAACTTATCATTGAAACTACTGTGGGTTAATGAATTATAGCAAAAAGTGAAATATCTTAAGTATTCTTCCCAATTTAATGTATTCTCGACGTAGCTTCTAAAATACTGATTGAAAAATCTGTGGTTTCTCTCGATAGATCCAACAGATTCATGACGATACGGAACTGTGAAATTATGCTTTACATTCAACATGGTACATAACTCTTCGTTTATTTTATTTTTGTATTCTGTTCTGCAATCTGTCCTTATTTCTCTCATTAAGCCGTACACGAGAATAAAATCTTCAAAAATTGCTTTCGCGACCGTTTTGGCTTCTTTGTTTGGTATTGCTACCGTTACCAGATATTTGGAAAAATCGCAAATTAAAGTTACGGCGTATTGGTTACCCTTTTCTGACATCGTCAGTGGTCCAATTGTGTCGATAATGACGACATCAAAAATTGATTGTGGTGTCGGTGTGAGAGTCATTGGCGCTTTAATTTTTTGTTTCGGTTTAGATAAATGACACTGTTTACAAGAATTGATGAATTTGGCGATGTCTATGTTCATGCCTTTCCAGTAATATTTAGCTCTCAGTTTTTCGTAACACTTTTTTTTTCCAGCATGTCCACCAAAGATGTGATCATTATGAAACCTAGCAATGAGCTCATGTTTCACATTGTCATCGGTTATTACCTCTGCAGCAGGTATAACAGCTATTTGAACAGTTCTTAAACAATTTTCACCCGCTTTTTTAAAATCAGTCATATTGACATTTTTTATAACGATATCGCTTTTTGGCCATTGAATTGTCATTATTTTTCTTTTTGACAGCTCTATTTCCAGAGCAGATAGAATAATCTCATATGAAAATCTATCATCGGAAGCAGTCTCAAATTCGAGCTCAAGGAGACATTTATGCTTCATGTGCACACAGACAATTAATTTATTTATTTTTTCGTCGACGTAGCTATTTATGCGGGGAATTTTCTTATTTATCGCGCGATCAATTTGTTCATATATTTTAGGCTTTATGGTGGCTGGTAGGTCTTTGTTATTTGTGTCATTTGTGTTACTAGCGCTTTGTTTCTTTGACATAGAACGAGTGGTGACGAGAAAAGTTTTTTCATTGGATTTTTCTTTGAGATCGTTGATTGAAATTCGACTCAACGCATCGGCTACGACATTCTCCTTGCCCTTGATATGGTGTACTTCGAAGTTGTACTCTTCCAATTCGAGGCGGATACGAGTCAGTTTTGAACTTGGGTCCTTTAGTCCATACAAATAGACTAGTGGACGGTGGTCGGACATTACCGTGAATCTAGTTCCGTACAAATACGGTCTGAAAGTTGTAATCGCAAAATGTATAGCCAACAGCTCTTTTTCGATTATTGGCTTGTTAAGCTCTCCCTTCTTGAATGCTTTCGAAATGTAAGCAATTGGGCGATCTTGATCGCCGTGAATTTGACTTAACACAGCACCGCATGCAAATGTGCTGGCGTCAACAGTTACTAGAAATTCTTTCGTGAAATCTGGATAAGCTAAAACATGTTTTGATTTTAACACCCCGCGAATTTGATTAAATGCGATTTCGCAGTCCATAGACCAAGTGAAAATTGCCTTTTTGCGCGTTAGTTTATTTAATGGTCGGACAATGTCAGCGAAATTTCTAATGAAGCGTCTGTAATAATTAGCAAACGCCGTGAAATGTTTGCATGACTCTTTGTCGTGCGGTGTAGGATATTTATCGATTGCTTCAAGTTTTTTACTGTCGGGCCTAATACCATTTTCCGTACAGGAGTGTCCCAGAAAAGTGACTTCTGGTCGGAAAAATTCACATTTTTCCGGGTTGAGTTTAAGATTATATTTACGACAGATTTTAAACACATTTTCGAGATTTGAGAGATGATTTTTGACCGATGTGCCGATTACAATAAGATCATCCATATATATGAATGCATTTTCTGGCGGCAGTCCACTGAATGCCAATGCCATCATTCGAGAGAATGAATTTGGTGCCACGTTAATACCAAATGGTAAAACTTTCCATTGGTACGCACCCTTGTCTGTGGAGAATGCAGTTATTTCGCGCGATTCGGGCTCAATGGGTATTTGCCAGAACCCTGAGAAGAGGTCAAGAATTGAGAAATACTTCGCTCTTCCCAAACTGTCTAGAATTTCGTCAATACGCGGTAACGGGAACTTGTCCGCTATGAGGTTTTTGTTTAGCATTCTATAATCCACACACATTCTCCATTTTTTCTCGCCGTTGAGGCTTTTCTTTGGTACTAAAATTAGCGGAGAATTGTAAGAGGAGACACTCGGCTCGATTAAATCATTTTCAAGAAGTTTCTTCACCTGTCTATCGATTTCATCTCCTTGTGTTTTTGGCAATCGATAATTTCTCACATAAACTGGATCGTCGCTTTTCATGCGTAATTTTTGAGAATAGAAATTGTTCGTAGTCATTCTATCTTCGGATAAAGCGAAAACGTCGGAATAGTTCATACATAAATCGATCAATTGGTTACGCGCGTGAGCCGGTGTTTTCGAAAAATATTGTGTTAGTTTTCGTTCTCGTTCTTTTGTTTTACCATCTTTGTCATATGTATAAATATTAAAATCGTTTAATGGAATTCCGCTTATGTTGTTATTTATTACTTGATGATCTGTATTCGAATTGAGCACTCTAATGACGACCTCTGCTTCGTTTGCAATGGTATTTGGAATTATTACCCCGGATTGTATCTCTTGACCGGGTATGAGACATGGACCAGTAAAATTTTGAATATGAAAAATGCGGAAAGTTTCGCAGCGAGCTGCCAGAGCAGAAAAATTTTCTTTGGGCTCAGAATGAATTTTCAAATAAATGTTGTTGTCCGGCGCTCTAATAGTGAATTCCATGTTACCGTAGTCAATAATGCAGTGGAAACGTCGATTGAAATCTTTTCCGATAATGCCATCGGATGGAATATTAAATTCGTCGGGGACGACGTGGAATTTATGTGAAATTATTTGATCGTAGAAAAAGAAATCTAATGAAATTGTGCCCAATGATCGGATAATTTCGTCCGTAATACCCCTGATTTTTATGATTTCGCTCGTGTCGAGTTGCACATCTACTTTGATTGAGCTTGATTTAACAATAGAAATATCAGCTTGTGAGTCTATCAAATAGGTTAAAAGATCATTGGATATGCTACAATCGATTTTTACAAAGTCGGAGTAATTCAAGTCGGAGAATGAATAAACATTTACGATCCGTTGTTCACTCTCTCGATGGAGAAAGTCTGTTGGTTGTTTTGATTCTGCCCGTCGCTGTTCGACGGGCCCTCGTAGTTTTCCGTCACACGAACATTGTAATTGCCTTTGTTTTTGTTGTAGTTACTACGACCATTGAAGTTCTTCTTGTAACCACCGTTCTTGCCATTGTTGTGATTGAAATTTTTGCTGCCGTTTTGATTATTCCACTTTTTTCCGTTGCTAAAACGACCGTTGTTTTTACGAAAACCGCCTTGGCGATTGTATGCAAGAACTTGTTTCTCTTGTTCGTGATTGCTTTGTTCAGTGATAAGTTTTGCAATTACTTCTTTCGGATCTTTAAACGAGGCTGCAGCCAGAACAGATCGAACTAGATCAGAGCGAGCCGATTGACGACACATTTTGACGGTGCTCTCTATAGCCATTTCTTTCGCTTTTTCCAAGCTTATACCTTCAAAAACCAATGAACGCTGTAAATCGTCAGCCAATTTCTCTGCCTCGTCAGCAAACTGCTGTGACGTGTTTTTTGATAGCTTTAGCGCAAGCATTTTGCCATTAATGACGCTTGTACTGTCTGGTTTTATTTTTTCTTTCAATGTTTTGATGATATCATCTAACGTGCCGTTTTCGTTTACATTATCGAGTGCTTTGCCTTCTAATTTGGCTAAAACAAAATTTTTGAGTTGTGCAGAGAATTTATTTTCCGTATCGACGGATTTTACCAGATTAATTGCATTAACAAAAGCATTCAATGCAAGTGGGTCACCAGAATAATTTCGGTTTATTGTTGATGCGGCGAAGCGCAAATATTCGAGTAGTGACATCGACATGTTTCCTTTTGACTTAATGGCAGAGTTTGATTCACCGTTTGTTTCTTCGTCGCTTCGAGGTATGTTATCCAAATCACTCATTGAATTGAATAAAGTTTCTTCGTTTTCAATTACACCAATTTGACTGTCTTCCAAATCAAAAAAGTTTTCTCCGTTTGTTGATTGAAATGTGAGCTCTTTTTCTTCAGTGTTGACACTTGATTCGTCGTCGCTCGATACGTCTGTGAGGTCGTTTGATTTTCCGAGTAAATCGATAATAAATTTAGAAACTTTTTTCTTGCAATTTAAGGCGCCGAAACATCTAAGTGTTTTATCTCTCACATATATTAATTCATTTCTGTAGAATAGTTGGTCTGTGGCATTGAAATTGTAATAGTGTGGCGCAATATAAGAGGAGATAGCGTCGTGTTTTGCTATTATCTCCCTCTCGTATTCCTTTAACTTCTCTGGATTTTTTGAAATATTATGTTTTAATACTTTTTTAGTGGCCAAAATAAATGAATCTTTATGTTTTTTAAATACCGAAGCGTTGAATGTCATTAGGCAAAATTACGGAAATTCATGCTGATTTCGTGAAGGGAACCAAATAAAAATTATGTGTGGCCTCGAGAGAATATTTGCTGTTTAAGCGGAAATGTGTGCGTCGTTTTTTTTTTTTTTTAAATATATTATGCTCAATGTGTATTGTTCCATTTGTGAGGTCTCAAAACATTCGAGTCATACATTAAAATAGGGAAATGGACCATGTGTATGCAATTTGTTTCAATAATATGACGACAAGCACTGAAATTTTGTTTTTCTTCGAACTGACCTACATCAACTTATTTATGTTTCGGAAAAAAAAAAATGTGGCATACATGACTGTTTCTTTATGGTTTTTTCTTTCTCTCTTTACTTTGGCTTAGTGATAATAAAACTTATTCTAAAACTTATCGTTTTTCCTCCTGTCCATATGTTTCGTTCGTTCGTTGCCGCTAATGCTCAGTCAATGCTCATGCCTCTGCTTATCGTCTGCTGTGCTTCGTTTTCTCGTTCGCTGTGTTGGTGTCTGATTTCATGCTCGTTCTTTTGTTGATTCTCACTTTCGTTCGTCTTTCTCGTGGTGAATTTATTCGTTCACGTGCACTTTTGCTTTTGCTGTACTTTCTATGCGACTTCTTTCGTTACTTATGATCGCTCATTTAACTTTTTTTTGATTGCGTATTTTTTTGAAATTCATTACGCGTACTGTCTTTTGCTTGTCTTCTGATTTATAAATTTCACGTACTGCCTATTTTTTTTTTCAGCCTTTTGCAGTGATTTAAATTATTGTCGTTTCTTTGGGATTATCTGAATCAGTTTTACGTACTGTCTGTCTTTTTTTCCACTTTATTTTGCAGCGCACTGTTATTTTTAAATGTTCATATCGTGAGCAATATTTTCACTTAAAGGTTTGCCGTTTTGTTCGCGTACTTTTTCTTCATCTTTTTAATGTGTTGCATGTAAACGATATACAGCAAACTGATCACTTTCAACACGATTAAAACGTAGTTTTGGTAAATTAGCGTTTGATTTTCTACTGGCACTGCTTCTTCAAAAACCAGATTATTGTTAACGTTGCCGGTTGAATCGACGGTTTTTGTATCAATTGGCTTACTTCCACCACCACCCATTGTGATTTACAACACGAATTCACTGGATCTATTGGAAAATTTTCAAAGTTCTTTTTCACGAAAATTTTTCTTAAGTGTTTAAGTCGTGTGGGCTATGGTGATGGCGTGCCGGGAACCTCGCCATATAATAGGATAAATGAAAGCTACAACTGTTGTGTTCAACGACTAGTCAGAGACTAACTTTATTGAGGATGGTAGTTTGTGTTGTCACCTCGTATGAGTGACATATGTTCGTTTGTTAATACTTGACATACATACATTTGACATACATATATTTGTTTGTTATAATATGCCGTATATGTTTTGTGTTATAGTTTGAATCGATCATTCTACGGTTTTTCACGTATATTGTATATATAACTATAACTAGCCAAACTCAGCAAAATATATTGCTTTTACGTGATTTTGAACGGTGGTTTTACTCTTTTGTCAGGCAAATTTGTAATCAAAAGCATGGAATCAACAAAACATCACTTTGTGCAATAGTTTTAAAATATTATTGAATTTCTTACACTTGATCATAGTTTCATTTCTACAATGTAAAATGTTTCAACGTTTTCATTGACGTTAGTTTGCAACATCGCTTACGAAGTGTCCCATTTTCTGCTAAAAAAGCAAATAAGTAGAGTAAATTAATGTAAACAAATGAAGAAAAAGTGAAGAAGAATTGTTAGTATATATGCATGTCTGTTATACATATTATGTTTATGGATTTAATTTCAATGAAAAGTGCTAACGCAACTTCCGAGAAATAAATAGTGTAATAGCATTGATTGTTCGCTTCCACTTTTATTCGATCATTTCTCATTTGGTGTGCTTGGTGGTAGGCCAGAGTTATTTACCCGTCATTTAAATAAACGTAAAAATGATTGTCGTCTATGTTTTTGTAGTTATATCGTATTTTGTGTTAAAAATACAAGTGAATTATAGTTTCGGTTATACCGTAAATTATCCTCCCATTTACGCCCCATGTCCATATATTCTTGTTTCCTGTCAACCAGTGATCATCCCATGTTCACCATATTATCCATCTGCACCGAAAACTGAAGAAATGAATGCACATGACATCTGATAAAGAGAAAATAAAGGGTGTCCCAATAGGGACGCAAAAAGTTTTTCAATAGGGATTTCATGATGGATGCCCCGATCTGTCAAACTGGAATGTCAGTTCGAAGCGTCCATCTATACCATTTATAACCATGTCAAGATTAAGTAAAGATCAACGCGTTCAAGTCGTTAAATCCCATTACGAAAATGGGTCTATTTTGCAAAATACGTTTCGTGCAATTCGTGAATTTTTCGGCCGAAATAATCGACCAAATGTGTCCACCATCAGTCGCCTGGTGCAGAAATTTGAGCGTACTGGCTCTGTGTTAGACGATCAACCATCAACCCGTATGCGAACGGCCCGCTCGCACGAAAATATTGCTGCTGTGAGTGAAAGTGTGGAGGACGAGCCAAGAACCTCGGTTCGTTGACGTTCCCAACAAGTTGGCCTCTCTAGGATGACCACATGGCGTATTCTCACCAAAGACTTGGGTCTACACGCTTATAAGATTGTCCTCACTCAAGAACTTGAACCGATGGACCACGGAAAACGAAGAGATTTCGTAAAAGGAAAAGAGGCCGCGGATGCCGATTTTTTGAAGAAAGTGATCTTTTCGGATGAGGCTCATTTTCACTTGAATGGGTATGTGAATCGCCAAAATTGTCGATTCTGGGGAAGCGAAAATCCAAGAGAAACTGAAGAAGTGTCAGCTCATCTAGCTCGTTGCACTGTTTGGTGCGGTTTATGGGCCGGCGGCATCATCGGGCCGTATTTCTCCGAAAATGATGATGGTCGAGCCGTTTCCATCAATGGCGAGCGATATCGTAAGATGTTGCAGTATTTTTTTTGGTCGGAAATTGAAGGCATGGACTTATCCGACATGTGGTTTCAACAAGACGGCGCCAGACCACACACAACACCTGAAACATTAGCGGTAATCGAAGAACGTTTTCCAAATCGCATCATTTCTCAAAAGGCCGAAGTGGAATGGCCGCCTCGTTCGTGCGATTTAACGCCATTGGACTATTTTCTTTGGGGCTACGTCAAGGATAAAGTCTATGCCAACAAACCAAGCACCAATTGCCGAGCTGAAAATTGAAATCAGACGTGTCATAGCCACCGTAAATGTGCCATTACTCGAATCTGTAATTGAAAATTTGGGCAAGCGCAATGATGCAAACTAGCTGTATGTGATATACGTAAAGCATTTATGTCACAACTAACAGCGCCATCTAACATCGTAATGGAATTATTCCAATGGATATTTCTTTTTTTACTAGCGAATATTCACTTAAAAAGTGTAAAAAATAAAAATTGATAGATCAATATGTAGAAACTTTTAATTTGTGTGAGACTAATATTTTAATATTGTAGGGAAAAAATTTAAAATTGAAATTATTACGTAGTCACTTCGTGTATAAAAGTTCAAGTTTTAGTGCTTTGGGTAAAGCTATTGAATGAACGTTAGCAACTTCACGTATGTTTACATTCGATGACAGCTGTCAGTGATACATTGAAATATTTACGGGGTTACAACGTAAATGATCTTTCCACTCGCGAACAATATTTATATAGTAATGTTTTCATAAATTAAACAATCCTGTGGCATAATAATAATTCCAGACATGGATTTTAATCTGTTAAAACTACGGTGATACTGACTGACTCAGTAAACCACGGTTTTCAATGACGTTTAACAAATGAAGAAATGAATTTTATGATATTCTATCATTTTTGCAAGTATTCGATGAAAATTGTGTGAAAAAGATGCACAAAATATGTTGTAAGTGCTGTTTGTGGTATCAAACATAAAAATGTTCGTGACCTAAACAATACCAACGATGAATTTTTCATGCCGCAAAAGAACGGCAACCTAACCTCCAAAGTTTAGCGGCTCTATGATTGCACCGACTCAATCAAAATATTTCATACTGCGCATTTTTTTCTCATTAATTTGAAGAAAATTTTTATTTGACCAAATTATTTTCATGAAACAAACTCATTAAAAACTCAGGTTTATATTTTTATATAAAAAATATTCGAAAAAACCATGGGTAAATCTGCCTTAGGCGTTAGCACTACAAATTCTTCCAATGAATTTCCTTAGTTTCGGTTTAATGAGCCAGTCGTTAGTCGCATATCAATAATTGTTGTGAATCCAATAAAAATCAGAATTAAGGAAATAAACTGAAATAAACTGAAATAATCATTGATTTCTTATGAATTTCCTTTTTTACCTTATCAATTGGATACTTATGGTTTGGGCGTTAGCACTACAAATTCTAGCATTGATTCAGGTGTTAGCCTTTAGTCAATGTTCGTTGTGAACTCAACAAAAGTCAAAATTACTGAAATAATCATTGGTTTATTATAGCATTTTTTGCTTACTTTTATTTTCAGAAAATCAATGTAAAAATGTTGTTCTTTACACATAATAATTATACATAAAATAATGTCTGCAATTCGAAAATTTGAAATTCCAAAGTACGCGCCATCACCACTGACTTTGACAGCTATGGGATTGAAGTATCTACCGTTTTTGAATTGTATTATTTTTTATTACGAAGTTAAACAAAATTTAGTTCGAGTATAGCTGTGCCATATTCGTATCTTAATAACCATCCTAATAATTTTTAGAGATTATTGAGATCCGATCATAATACCGATAAATCTTAATAACGCTATCAACTTTTTATCAGGTTATTAACTATATTCAAATAATAAAGTTACCGGATGAATCTTAATAACATCGTTTTGAAGTTATTAAGATCGAATCCTGATAATTTACAACATTCAATCTTAATAATCATCAAGTTCTGGAAGTGGGTTTTGGTGGACCCTCAGGATCGACCAGAACTGCTCCCAGTTCTGGAAGTGGATCTTCAGGATGTACCAGATCCGGTTTGACACTGCCCTTGGCCCATCCTGAAGATCCACTTCCAGAACT